AGAGATGCCAATTAACCTCAAACCACCGCAGAGTGGTGCACAAGCACAATCTAGAGATGCCGATTAACCTCGCGGTGTGTCTTTGGGTGGTTGGAGGAAACCAGGACAACATCCCTAAACGCATGAACACAAAAGAGAATGCAAACTCCACACCAAAAGGTGATCCAGGGCAAAACTGAACTCGGAACCTAATAGGCCACAGCCCAAGGCTGAGAGCAAATATTTCCTAATTTTTTCCCCAATCTTCTCAATGCATTCAATTCAATTCAATTTATTTTATACAGTGCCTTTCACAACAAGGTTGCCCCAAGACACTTAAAGCTGTGCGACAGTACATGACATTACAATACAGAAAGAGAAAAGGCCAGAAGTTAACAGAGGAGAGGAACCAAAAACCTCTAGGGGTCCAAGGTCAACTGGCTGCCCAACCCCTCTGGGTACTGTCCTTGTTCCTTTGTGCATTCCCAGATCTTTTTAAAACAAATTACAAGATACGGATAAAGGTTTTGTCTCACAACTGGAATAAGAAGTCATTAAACCCAAATCCCAGAATTCTTACCAGCCTTGCAGAACATGGGAGCGTGTTTTTTCTACAAATTAACTTTTCATGGTTTCTCTGAGCACATAAACACCGATATAAATGTTTTACCATGCATTCTTTCTTGAAATTGCTATATTAACTCAAAATATAGTGATTTTACTGCCAACTCAGAAAGACTCATTGGAAAAATCTTCTCCCTGCTGTGTACAACTATTTTGACAGTTAAATTAAAAAAAGTTTTACTTTACGTCTTATTATATTTAATAAGACAGTTATAGCATAATATGTGGTGCACTACTATATGAGTGGAATTAACAGTTCATTAGAGATTTGACTTCTGAAAAAGAAGAAAATAAAATCCAGCAAAACCACCACAAATGAAAAACCACCTTTTTTTTAGCTGATCGGGGTAGAAAAACTCCTTACCCATAAATACTTTTTTAGACAATACAACCAGAGGCACGCAGGAAGATAAGACTAATGAACAATAGTTATTTTTGCACATATTTGTGAATTTACATGGACTGCAGGCCCCTAACCCCAACTGCTCCAGGGGTGCTGTATAAACGGCTGACCCGACGCTCTGACCCCAAGCTTCTCTCCCTGTCTGTGTGTCTCATGGAGAGCAAGCTGGGGTCTGCAAAAAGACAAAGTCCCAATACAAGAAATTGTATATGGCCGATAAAGTGATCTTATCTAATCTCTTAACTTAAGACTTGCAGCATCGCCCTTCATTCTGCCAATGAGCAGGCACCACACCATGGGTTTTGTCTATCTATTTCTGCTCTCATCGCACAGTATTTTTACTGCGAGTCATCTCTACTTCCTTACCGCCACAGGGCCGAATCCTTGTGAAAGGCTTGGCTAACTCAGTTTAATGAACGGGGAGACGCAGGGCTTCACCTGGCTTCCCGGAAGAGGCGCCCGTGTAGAAGTCGGACACCACCTGAAGGGCTCTGCTGTACTCAAAGTGGCTGCCGTCCATGCGCTCCACACGGATCCGGTCATCGTTCTGGACACTGGAGAGGAACAAGAAGCAGAACAGAGGGCCGTCAGATTCACAACGTAGCTCCAAGAAGCAGGGCTTTCAGCCTTTCCGGATTGTCTCAATCCCATGCCTCCAAGATCCTGACCAGACAGCACTCCAGCAACTAACAGGTTGCTTGGGGTGTCCAAGAGCACTCCTCAACATCACCACATCTTGTGGTTTTCCATTAATCCAGGTTTCTTTACAGAACCCTTCATTGAATCCCACACATTTCAAAATGTGACCTGAAATGTTTTGATCTTTTGCAGTCCCATATAGCAAGTTAAAGTCTGTGAGCAATAATGCTACAAAAGAGATATTGCCGTTTCAGAGGCCATACAAAGGAACTTATTTCCTGGCCTGAAAAAGTGATATTCGGACAGACTACAGGAACCCAATCTGTTTAGCGCGAGACAGAGAAGATTACGAGAGGTCTCAATTGTAACTAAGGGGACGCCTTTGAGATCGGCAGGAGTACAGGGACCCAGAAGATAAGTGGAGATTTCATCTAGCAGCATTCAAGACGGAAAACAGGAGACACACCTCTGCACAAAGGATTGTGGGAGTCTGGTCATCTGGTCAAAACCAATTCCAGAGGCAGCCTTCAGAAGCAGGCAAATGGAAATCTTAGATAATATTTACATAATGAAATTCTGAAGCTACTAGCAACCAAATGAGCAATACTGCCCTGACAGCTGCAAAATACCTTTATGTTACTGTGCAGGTCTTGAAATACACCTTAAAACAGCTTACACGGGGGGACAAAACAGGCTCTTAACAAGCTGCACGCATCACTTTCAGCCTCGATCAGGCATCTGCTTCTACAGATTGCGGGGTTGTACAGTTTACGATGTTACTTAACAGTTTCACATTCTGCTGAATCCCCTTAGTGACTAAATGTGTTTTTTTTCCCATCCTTTTAAAGCTTTCAGTTAAGACAGCTCCCGAACAGAAATGAAGGCTTAATGAGAAAAATGGGCATGTTTATTGCTGCAGACATCTTCACTAATGGGCAATCAATGCCCTGCTCTCACAGTTGCTGTGCCTATCAAACGCTCATACACTAATTTTGAAGAAGTCTTTAATGAAGCTGCTATGTTGCTATGTTAACAGAAAATATCGATTTAAGGAAATACCACATCAATCAATCACTAAATAGACATTAAATAGGATCTACGGCAATCAGGAAAAAAACTGAAATTAAGAACCAGCGCTTCAAGGGCGATGAAGTCAGAGGTTGCGAAGAAGAGGAAGAAAGTCGGGAGCCCATGAAACAAACACACGGATGTGCTGTACAAACGTCAGCCCCTGCAAACTCCGGGGGCCGGATTTCCTACATAAATGTGACACCACCGCGCCGGCAAAGCCCCCCGACACTGATCATTTTCCCCCCACCCTCCCCTTCACAACATTTCCATTTTCAAGGGCTCGCATGGGCATCGTGGGAATCCCACCGTCACCGCGGAGACGGTCGCCGGCCCTGGCCGACGAGCTCCGCCGCGCGCGGGACTCCTGCTGTCCGCGGCCTTTCAGAGCACGCGCTGGCGGTGGGTGGCCGTGCGCAGCCGGTCTCGGAGATCCTTCTCACAAGGCGAGCGAAAGCAGCCTTTTCAGATCAGATCAGATCAGATCGGATCACTTTATTGGCCACATACAATTTCTCTGTACAGTGGATAGAAAAAGTCTGCACACCCTTATTGAAATTGCAGGTGTTTGTGATGTAAAGCAAGAAATCAAGATAAATCGTGTCAAGACGTTTTTCCATCCTTTTCAGCCTGGCAGAAGGCTGAAGAGGGGGAGCTTAGCATTTGAAAGGCCAAGTCCGGCCTGTGTGTCACATGGACCACATGGGAATAACACAAACAAATCTTTTGGTTAAAACTCACCGATTGAACAGGTGCACCCTGTGAGCGTAAAAAATTATGACGTACCGGCTATTACTGCTGTAAATTACTGGAGGTAAACTGTGCTTGCGAGGAAGAGACAATGCAAGCCAGGCTTAAGTCTAGGAAATAACTAAAGGCATTTCTGTTCTTGGGCAAAAGTTATTCGGGTCAGTGTAAATTTATGAGGGCTGCGGAAATATTGCTGTACAGCAGCCTATTTCTCAACTTTATTTCAACTCTGTACCAACAGGGGTTTCACCACAACACCCCAAGTCTCAACCAGGCCCCCCCCCACTCTTACCACAGCACCCCAAACCCATAATAAGGCTCTCCTGTCAAAATAATTAGAAATAAATCAACTGAATGTCGGCACACTGTCTTGGCATTTCTGTGCACCATTGATCACTTCTGTTTTTTGGTTCGTGAGATAGCTCTCTTGCATTTGAACCTTATTGCTCTCTCACCGGTTTGGCATTTCAATAGCGTTTCAAACAGAGCACTCAGATATTTCTGAGCCAAGACTGTAATAGGCCCAGATTAACTATGCTACCACATTACACATCCCCAGGGTGAACTGACAAATGACTTACCATCTACTACCAGCCTGCTCCAGCTCTTAAACGCGTGAATACAACATTAACAATCGGATTCAATTCACTTGCCTTTCTCCACCTACGCGTTTCTAAAAAGCACTGTCAATCAGGAGGAGTACATATGCACAATACTCTGCCACAAACTGGAGGCCAACACCTGGATTATCAGAAAAGAGACTTTGTAAAACTGCATTCACTGCACACTCATGCATACCTGTGCATTTCTGGGTGATCAGAAAACAGTACCGCATGTTCTGATTAAAAGAGAAGGATAAAAATTAGGTTTTTAGCCTGAAGGTTCACAGCTCAGGGGAGGAAAGGCAGAGCACAAGGTTAATTTAAATAAAATACTGTACTTCTGCAGGTACTTCATCGTGCTTGCCAAAATGCTTAACCAAAGGCCTTAAGGACTTTCTCCCCTGCACTCTCAGGGAGCAGTTCCTAGGAGAGCGATTCTTGGTGAGGGGTGGAGACAATCAAACAGAGCAGAGGCAAAAGGCAGTGGAGGGGTCAGACAGGTGAACGCAGGAGAACAGTTTGCCGGGGGTGCTCGAGATAAGTGAAGGCAGAAGAGCAGGTCAGCTCCGGAGTTCCTATTAAACATTTAATTGGAAAGCCAGCCTAGCAGCAACATAACCGTTGCCAGGAGGCATTTTTAGCTTACCTAAGCAATGTGAAGCAGTTTATATTGCATTGTCACATTTTGCCAAACACTTTTTCCCCACAAACCACTAAACCACTAAATTAGAACAATAAAATCATACGCCACTCTATAACCAAGCCTGGATTATGCTTCTCTTCTGTTAATGTAATTGTTATTGACTTGCATGGTATCGCGATAACCCCAACCCTTGCATCATCTGTATGAAATAATCTGAAAAAACACAAGAAACAGGCCGCTTCACTCCCCTCTGCTACAGTTCAGAAACCACAAGTGACCTAAAGTTACCCTGTTATATTTCACCTCTACCGGGGATTTGTTTTCCCTATTGGTAAAGTATCAGTTCTGTACTCGTGTAATTCTTGAGTGGCATCTACACTCGGAACAATAACCCATTTGTCTCCCCTTTCTTGCAACAAAGCCTCTAATGACTTCTCAGAGCACAGAGAAGCCCTCCGCCACAACACGGTGTGGTGGCTCTGTGGCTCAGGATCTGCGCCTGTGGCTGGAAGGTTGCCAGTTCAAATCCCGCGGCCGGCAGAGGAATCCTACTCTGTTGGGCCCCTGAACAAGGCCCTTAACCCCAGCTGCTCCAGGGGCGCCGTATAAATGGCTGACCCTGCGCTCTGACCCCCAGCTTCTCTCCCTGTCTATGTGTCTCATGGAGAGCAAGCTGGGGTCTGCGAAAAGATAAATTCCTAATGCATGAAATTGAATATGGCCAATAAAGTGATCTTATCTTATCACTGCCAGTAGGGAAAATTCCAACTGTGCCCATTGTGTAGCACTGTCATCCATTTCAGATTGTATATACAGTCGACTCGTTACTTACAGTACATGGGGATTCATGATTTTGAGTAACGTGTAAAGCCAAATTCGCATATAGTCAAATATACAACCCTGGTAAAAAATCCTTACTCATCTCTTACAGCAATTATAGATATAAATTATAAGTATATAATATTTTATATTTATGTAATAAAAATAAGTAAATAAGGTGACTATATAGGCTCACTAACTAGCTCTTGCAGGCGCGTTTGATGAAGCCTGTAAATTGCGAGTTGACTGCACAAACAATGCTCCTTCACAAACAAAACACGCACACCAATGTTCTTGAAATAATTTTAACTGCACATATCTTCCCACTTAAAGATCATCAAAACAAGGACGCAAGTACAAAGGGCAACCAGCCTCTTTGCAAGAGTTTGAAGATCCTTAGACCTTAAATGGCCCAAATTGCTGTGCAATAGGAGTTTTGCCTCCTGCCTTGATTTCACAATTCAAGCCTTGCAGAATCTTTTCCAATATGTTTACCAAGCCTTACGTGAAGAGCTTTTACGTTTGGCTTTAATTTAAGCCAATCAGCATGTATTACACCAAGTCAAGCAACACTGACTGTCACTCACTTGACATCGGCAATTTGACTTGACCTTTCAATTTTAAATTCTCTAACTCTGGTTTTGAAGAGTGTTTAGGGGCTATTACAAATCTCCGCAGAAACAAGCAGTACAAATCCCCACAGCTGTTCTTCACCCGAAGTGCTAATTACCCCCTAATAAAGCCTTTTACACCAGCAAGAGAAATAAATCCCAGTTCAATTATGTAGCACAGCTTTTTGTTGTATCCCTGTACAAAGAAAAAAGGCATTTTTAAGCTTCCTGTATTATCCGTAAAGCACTTTCTCACAGGATTAAAGAAAACACATGAAGTGTCTCAAAAAATTATCTGTGTAACTCTGTCTTGGAGTATGTGGATGGCATACAGAAGTGGAAAATAGCACGGTTTTAGTTCCTGTTGTTTAAGTGCCTTTAAAACTCGTTCACTTTAAAGATATGAACAGATTGTAACCATT